TCCAGGCTGGGCTTGAACCCCTGAGCTCAAGCAATCCTCTCACCTTGGCCTCCCAAAGTGCTGGGAGTACTCCCATGAACCACTACGCCTGTCCAGACCCTGTTTCTTAAAAAAAAAAGGAAAAAGCCGAAACAAAACCATGTAAGAAGTGAGAAGGGAAAATGCTGCTGCTCCGTAATAAAGCAGGTGGATCATTAGTCCTTCTGTTAGAATCGTTTTTCAAAACCCACTTATAGTCAACAGTTAATACTTTATTTTATATCACATTTCATGTTCTAAAACTTTTAATTAGGGCTCTACTTTTAAGTTAGCAAATAATTATCTCTTGAAACCGAAGTCTTAAAAGGGCTGTCATTAATTAATATGCTCTGTTGGGAAATTATCTTTTTAGTACTACCATTTAAAAATAAAAATTTCCAGTTACAGGAAAAATGAAAAGAAGAAAAAAGGAGCCAAGTGAAAACAGGGAGAGTCTGTATCTGTGCAAACATTATATAAAAACAGCAGTCATTACGTAGCAGTAAATCTGGGAATAAATTTCAAACATTAAAAATACTCTGTTTTTTTTTCCTCTTGCAGTAGAAACTAAATGAACTAAGACAAAGCTTAAATTCTACTCTCTATATACCTAGCTTAGGATTAATGATGATGATTCTTAATGATATAGAAATTAGAAAGCAGCCTGCCTAGGATCACCTGAGGTCAAGAGTTTGAGACCAGCCTGGCCAACATTGCAAAACCCTGTCTCTACTGAAAATACAAATATTAGCCAGGCATGGTGGCCCAGGCCTGTAGTCCCAGCTACTCATGAGGCTGAGGCAGGAGAATTTCTTGAATCCGGGAGGCAGAGGGTACAGTGAGCTGAGATTGTTCCACTGCACTCGAGTCTGGAGACAGAGCAAGACTCTGTCGCAAAAAAAAAAAAAAAAAAATTAGTTGGACGTGGTGGTGGCACCTGTAATCCCAGCTACGTGGGAGGCTGAGGCAGGAGAAATGCTTGAACCAGGAGGCGGAGGTTACAGTGATCCGAGATTGCACCACTGCACTCCAGCCTGGGCGACAGAGCAAGACTCTATCTCAAAAAATAAAAATAAACTTCTCTGAATCCTGACCTGAAACTGGAGGTTCAGTTATAATCAGGGCTGGTTTTCAGTGCGCGTTTTAACGGCAGTGTGCTGTGGAGGAATACTGGTGAATGAATGTTGTTAGAGAACAGTGTTGAAACTCGGAGCGGTACTGGCAGTTTGGTGTTTCAAAGGGATCATTTAGATAAAGTTTTTAATGGTTTGTATCTTCAAAAGAAATGCTGCATGTATTTGCTTCTATTTGACAGATACAACAAAATATGAAAAAAGCCAGACATAACTCATGCAAGGTTAAAAATCAAAGAGTACCAGGGAGAAATAATAGGCCTCTTATGATCTTCTATTTTCGGGTGGGAAAACAATCCAAAAGTTAAACCGTATAAAAACACCTGCTACGGGTTGTATACCTGTCCCTTCTAATACTCATGTGAAACTTAATTCCCAGTGTGGGAGCAGTAAGAAGTGGGCCTCTGGGAGGTGACTGGGTCATGGGAGCTCTGCTCATTCACAGATTAACGGGTTACCATGGGAGTAGGATTGGTGGCTTTATAAAAGGAGGAGGAGGAAGAGAGACCTGAGCTAGCATGCTCAGCCTCCTCACTACCTGACGTCCTGATCTGCCTCAGGACTCTGCGGAGTCCCCACCAGAAACAGCCACTTAGCAGATGTGGCCCTTTGACCTTGGACTTCTCAGACTCGAAAATTTTAAGAAACAAATTCTTTTGCTTTAAAAATTGCCTGGCTTCAGGTATCCTGTTATGAGCAACAAAAAACCGTCTAAGATGATACCTCTTTAAAAGGGTGCTATGTTCTGACCTTACACCACTTGCCAAAGCGCGGCCTCCTAGATGGGTGACTTCCACCCTTTCTACTTGCTTATGTAAGTCACATACTGGCAAACGAGAAAAAGACGGGCCCTAAGGACAGTTTCTCTAACCAATAATTTTGCTTGTAGAAATAAAGGTTTTGGCTGGGAATGGCAGCTGACACCTGTAATCCCAGCACTTTGGAGGCTGAGGCGTGTGGATCACCTGAGGTCAGGAGTTTGAGACCAGCCTGGCCAACATGGTGAAACCCCATCTCTACTAAAAATACAAAAATTAGCCACAGGTGGTGGCGGACGCCTGTAATCCCAGCTACTCAGGACGCTGAGGCAGGAGAATCGATTGAACCCGGGAGGTGGAGGCTGCAGTGAGTGGAGACTATGCCACTGCACTCCAGCCTGGGTGACAAGAGCAAAACTCTGTCTCCAAAAACAAAAACAAAACCAAAAACCATTATAAACTGAACATATTGGTAAATTTTATATTAAGTATTACACAGGTCAAGTGAGCTAAATATTAAATACATAAGTAATGTATTAAATGTATTTAAGTAACTTGTCCAGGACTATTTGGCTAAACGGTAGAGCTGGGACTTGAACTGAAATCTCATACTCCAAATCAGGGTACTTTCTATTACACCAGGAGCCCCTTTCCTGGATCATTGATCGTCATGCTAGAATCGATTCCTCAAGTCTCCTGGTACTGATAACAATGAGTACAGATCCCCTTTTGTCCTGGGACCCTTTTAAAGGGGGATAATTCCTACCTGGGGGAAAGCTAGGCTTTGGCAATTTTCTGTCTCAGTCAATGGACTTTCTCACTAGGAAGGTGGAAAGGAGATGAAATAGGAGAGAGAATATCACAGATTTAGAGCTGAAAGGGATCACAGAGATAATCTCGTCCAATTCCCTCAATTTGAGGAGCAGAAGTGACCTCTCCGGATCCCACTGAGGTAGACAGCAGGACTGGAATCCATGCTGACCACTTCCTGCCCTCTCCTCTAGGTGGAGGTAACTCTACCTCTGGCCTACCCCAGCCTGGTGAAGGCACTCCACACTTCCTTGGCACTGGCTCTTTGCCCCCACTCTCACTATAAATGACACGAGAGGCCTGCCAAAATCCACCTGAAGAAATATGCCCTTGGAGATTGAGGATTTTCTTTTTTCAAATCAATTCATTAGATATTTACTGAATTTTTTTTACCACGTTTTACACTATGGGGTATATGAATATTTAGAGACAGGAATAACATACAACTCTGCCTTCAAAAATCTCGTGCTTATTGAGGCACTTTAGTCTCCAAATAATAAAACGATTATTAAAAAATAAGTTTCAAGATCAGTGACTTCCCTGAGAATCTGATACAAACTATGGATCTGTTCTCCAGAAAAACCATACATTTTCCCACACATTCAGGCAGTTAATGGATCCCCTAAAGCCCATCCACTGATTAGGAATTAAGACGCTCTGCTGTAAGAGATTCACTGAGTACTAACACATAAAAAATCTTAAGAACCAAAACCAAAAGACATACTAGTAATCCTTTTCTCTGATGCAAAATGAATAAACCTTATATCCCATGTAAAGGCAAAGAAACTGTTTTCCCTGGTATCATCTGAATGTCCCTACAAGTGATTATTTTCCATATTTAATTTGTTGTGTTTAATTCCATGAGACTCTCTTACCTGTTTTCAGAGTTTCTGGAATGGCCTTTTCATAGATATATTTATATGTGCAAATACAAAGATAAATTTCATTCAAACCAGAAAAAAACACAGCTTAGCTAATGAAGTATTCTATTTCAAAAAAAAATTTAATATAGCACAGAATGCTGTTTCTAAGGCTCTGATGCCAAAGGGAGTGAAGTCATGGGATGAATTGATAATACTGCACCATGAGCACTTTCTTCTTATTAAAAAGAAATCTTCTGGAATTTAAATTAATTTCTTAACAAAGAGTGAAAGGTTGATGTATAATAGTAAAGAAATATCTGCAGAAGGAACTGTATAATGAATAATAAAGTTTCATATGTCATTTACTAAAGCTTTATATAATAAAAAAATCAAGTCCTTTCACAAATAGATTATTTGGTTATGTTAAAATGTTTTTAAAAATTGGTTATTTTGTTACATATTCTGAATCAAATAGATGGAGCGGCAAGAATCAACGTATTATTGAGTATATTGACAGAGTGAACAAAATCGTAAAGAAAATGAGATAAAAGGGTTTCCATTCAATTTTCTTAAAACTATAATTAAACACTCTTGACACTTTGGTGACATTCAGTGAAGAAAGCTAAATGGAAAACAATGTGACTCAAAGATTAGAGAAAGAATTTGGATTTCTTATTGTTACCATCACTAGTAAATGCACAAAGGCCTAGAGTTGAGATAAAAATGACTATAAAACAAAGATAAACTTTCTAAAACACCAATTTGTTAAATTTGTCCTTAAAAAATGGGGACTAGGACAAGCTAATCGCAATCTCTATATATATATAAAACAAAGATAAACTTTCTAAAACACCAATTTGTTAAATTTGTCCTTAAAAAATGGGGACTAGGACAAGCTAATCGCAATCTCTGCATAATTTCAAAGCGCAGTTCAGCTCAAGTTTAAAACAACCTAGGTAGATTCTAATTAAAACAAAAAAATCCACAGATAACAATCCACAAGCCAGGGATAAACCCTCCCACAATGACAAAACAGTATAATTCTTTAAAGGATGTGATTCTTCCATAAGGCACGTTTTCCAAAAAAAGGGAAAGAGCTAAGCTCTTTCAGAGGAAGACAGGGAAACAAAATAAAGGCCAGAAATGGTATCAACAGATTTCAGGCTTAATGTCAAGAATAAATATAAATGAGGATAATTTCTTCTCTTCATAAGAATTGTTGATGTTAAAGGTACTGAAATCTGAAATTACAAAGCTGATGTTCCCAAAAAATGGCTGCATTAAGACATCTTTTCCGTGTTGTCTCAATTTGTCATTAGCCTAGATAAATGTGAACTAATTCATGAGTGACACACTTTCAGTAATGCCATGTTAATAAGGAGGGCACATTCAAAGGGTTAATATGAATATATACATACCACAGGTTGTTTTGTGATGTCCACCAAGTCCTTAAGATTATAGTACTGGTGTTTCTCAAAGGCTGAAAACAGCATGTCTAAAACGTGTTGTTTATCAGCTCGAGCTCGCTTTCCGTCTTCTTTCTTTTTCCTTTCATACTCAATCTACATGCAAACAGGAAAAGAAATAGAAGCATCAGTTCACAAAAAAAAAAAGAGAGAGAGAGAGATAGAGAGAGACAGTTCAACATGTCCACTAGGAAACACAGGCATTCTCTCTCTCTTTTTTTTTTGAAGACAGTTTTGCTTTTGGTGCCCAGGATGGAGTGCAGGGGGATGATCTCACTCCAGCCTCCACCTCCTGAGTTCAAGAGATTCTCCTGCCTCAGCCACCCAAGTAGCTGGGATTACAGGCACGTGCCACTACACATGGCTAATTTTTTCTATTTTTAGTAGAGACAGGGTTTTGCCATGTTGGCCAGGCTGGCCTGGAGCTCTTTATCTCAGGTGATCCACCTGCCTCGGCCTCCCAAAGTGTTGAGATGACAGGCATGAGCCACTGCACCTACTAGGCATTCTCTTCTGAGTCATCCAAAAACAGCCAGACTGTAAGTTTCGAGGCAGCAGGCCTCTGAAGAGTAGTTCAGAACCTGGGACCTGTTGCTCCCAGGGCTCCCCGTATCTTTAAGGCTCTAAGTGAGTAATAATTCTAGTCACTCTCATTATTCCCTAAAGTTTTATGTAATATGTCCATTTCCCCCATAAAGGCCTTTTGCCAAAATTATATCCATTCCGTGTGGTTAACTGGTTAGCTTGTGTTGATCAAAAACTCTAACCTGCAGTTCTTTTGTTTCTGATTAACATTAAAACAGTTTAACAGATACAGTTTGGCAGGTAACATCTTTCAAACGTGGGGTTCTTGGAGGCAGGCAGATCATAGAACCGGTTCTTCACGGTGTGAAAACAGTTTGGGAAGCATTGGCAAAAGGAGGACATGGACCTTTCCTCATCCTGACCCTGTGCAACCTCCTTAAACCTGCTTCTTCTCCTATAAAATGAAGTTAGTTTAACAAGACAAAGGGGAAATATATACTTAACACTCAGACACAAGCAAACAATTTTTCTGAAATTCCCATTTAAAACTTCACGTGACCTCTAAATTCACCTATATAATACATCTTTATTTTTAACATGGAAATAAAAAAAAAAAAAACCAGAGTATCTCCTGTTCAAATAACAATGACACTTTAGGACTGCGTGTCAAGTTCTGTATCTCCATGCGTGCCAGCTGAAGAAGCAGTGGCACTGAGACCGCAGGAGTTCCCTCCCACTGGTGCCATCCTCGGACCGTCCGTTTGTCAAACATCACCCTTTTTACTGAAAACATGCAAGTTCTGTTCAGTAACTCAGTTAACCGAGACGCTTGCTTGCTTCGGGAACACTTCACTTGTATCAACCATTTGAAACTTGCTGGAGGACCCCACCTGGCGAGGAAGCACCAGCAGGCTCGATGGAAACTGCCCCTGGAATAAGAACAATCTGGGGACTAGCTTCAAAAACCGTGAACTACATTTCAAAATTTACAAACTAAATTACTGCACAAATTTCAGCCTCAGGTAGTTAGGCTTACTCTCCCTATTTCAACAATAAACATTTGTTATAAAAGGATAAAATTTAGTTTCTATTGATTTATGGACATTAAAACTAAAAATATATCTTAGACTGTCAAATTAGTGGCGAAAGGTAACTCTGACAACCCTGAGAATCTACTTTTCAGTTAAATAGCGTTAGGAGTGAGACAAAGGGAAAGGACTCGATCATCTTCATTTTTTGATACGTACAACCTGGTGGTGAAGCTCAAACTCCACTGATCTCCTAGGAAGCATGACTGCATGCTAGGCGTTGCGCTCAGATATGGGGCGAGTAAGGCAGCCTTCTCTTTCTAAAGGTTATCCCCTTCTTATGGCTTTAAATGGATTAAAACTGTTAGAGAGGGCTTGTGCATTTTAAATACAGTAATAGACAAAGAGCCACCTAGGACAAGATCCTGATGCCAAAAAATGCAAATAAATGACATAGACTGTACTGGAGACACTGAAATCCAGGCAGTTCCAAGATATTATGGGTGAAAAGGGCATGAAAGGGAATAACTGGCAGGGCGTGGTGGCTCAAGCCTGTAATCCCAGCACTTTGGGAGGCCGAGGAGGGTGGATCACGAGGTCAAGAGATTGAGACCATCCTGGTCAACATGGTGAAACCCCGTCTCTACTAAAAATACAAAAAATTAGCTGGGCACGGTGGCGCGTGCCTGTAATCCCAGCTACTCGGGAGGCTGAGGCAGGAGAATTGCCTGAACCCAGGAGGCGGAGATTGCGGTGAGCCGAGATCGCACCATTGCACTCCAGCCTGGGTAACAAGAGCGAAACTCCATCTCAAAAAAAAAAAAAGATTCTGAGAAGAGCAGAGTGACTTCAAGAGCTAGAAGCAAGACTGGAGAGGGGAGAGACCAGAGAACCTATGACCAAGGAGTTTTTTTCAATGTAAGGAAGATGGAAAAATAGACAAAAAAAAATACACTTGAGGACAAAGGCAGAAGTGTAAAGTCTGCCCCAATTCAACAGGGAAGCAAGCTATAGAGACAACTAAGAAAAAAGAGATGAAGCTGGGCACAGTGCTCACGCCTGTAATCCCAGTACTTTGGGAGGCTGAGGGGGGCAGATCACTAGGTCAGGAGATCAAGACCATGCTGGCTAACCTGGTGAAATCCCATCTCTACTAAAAATACAAAAATTAGCTGGGCATGGTGGTACGTGCCTGTAATCCCAACTACTCGGGAGGCTGAGGCAGGAGAATCGCTTGAACCTGAGAATCAGAGGTTGCAGTGAGCTGAGATCGTGCCACTGCAGTCCAGCCTGGTGACAGAGTTAGACTTCGTCTCCAAAAAAAAAAAAAAAAAAAAAAATGCAGGAAAAAACATGGACCCGTAGATGAGAATATTATAATCATTTACTCTGGTCAAGTATGGGATAAAAGAAACTTAACTTGGGGTCTAGAAAATAGAAGAAAACAGAATCTAAGGGGAGGTAGAGAAAGCCGTTCCTTTCCCGCAGGGTTGAGTGGGTGGGTGATTTCATTTATAGCCGAAGGCTATTCTTCAAAAGTGACTGTCAAAGGCGTGAGTACCTAGCAAAAGCCCAGGCTATGCTTGTGTACTTTCCATATGAAGCCATGGCTGCATAATACTCTGTCTGGCTTCCTCTTCCAGCTTTAATTTACACTGAAAGAAGACAGAAAAAGTCAAATTCAGGAAACAGCAAAGAGAAGTGATGGTATATTCAGTTTCTACCTTCAGTAGGCTCTTTCCTGTGTAAAATGATTGGAGAAGCTAGAAAGTTTAACAGGAAAATTCTTTTTAAATAAGCCTACTGGTAAAGCCAGCTGTCCTACTTTATGGGGGACATTCTAGTTGGCTGTGGAGAGAAAAATTTTTAGTTGTTGTTATTAAGTTGTCCCAACCCCAGAGCCATGGGTCAGATGCAAGTGGACCTGAAAAAATTAAGAATAAATTAGAAAAGAACTTTAAAATCAATACTAGGGATAAGAGTAAGGGTCAGAAGGCTGGGCGCGGTGGCTCAAGCCTGTAATCCCAGCACTTTGGGAGGCCGAGGCAGGTGGATCACGAGGTCAAGAGATTGAGACCATCCTGGTCAACATGGTGAAACCCCGTCTCTACTAAAAATACAAAAAATTAGCTGGGCATGGTGGCGCATGCCTGTAATCCCAGCTACTCAGGAGGTTGAGGCAGGAGAATTGCCTGAACCCAGGAAGTGGAGGTTGAGCCGAGATCGCGCCATTGCACTCCAGCCTGGGTTACAAGAGCGAAACTCCATCTCAAAAAAAAAAAAAAGAGTAAGGGTCAGAATAATTAGTAATTAGTAGTGTTAATTGTAATTAGTAACGTTAATGGGTAGTAAGACAATTACAAAATTCTACTAGGATCATGCCACTGCACTCCAGCCTAGGCGACAGAGTGAGATTCTGTCTCTAAAAAAATAAATAAATAACAAAATAAAGATTAGGCAAGGCACAGTGACTCACACCTGTAATCCCAGCACTTTGAGAGGCTGGGGTTGCTGGATCACTTGAGCTCAGGAGTTCAAGACCAGCCTGGGCAACATGGCAAAACCCAGTCTCTACAACAAATACCAAAACTAGCCAGGCATGGTAGCACCCACCTGTAGTCCCAGCCCTTGGGAGGCTGAGGTGGGAGGATTGCTTGAGCCCAGGAGGCAGGGGCTGCAGCGAGCTCAGAACGCACCAGTGCACTCCAGCCTGGGCAACAGAGTGAGACCCCATCTCAAAAATAAAATAAAGATTTAACTAATGCTGTACTAAAAAACAGCATTGTTCTATTTTAAGTAGTTAACTAATTAGTTTTAGAGACAGGGTCTCCCTCTGTCACCCAGGCTAGAGTGCAGTGGTGTGATCACAGCTTACTGCAGCCTCAACCTCCTGGGATCAAATTATCCTCCTGCTTTAGCCTCCCAAGTAGCTGGAACTACAGGTGCATGCCACCATACCTAGCCAATTTTTAAATTTTTTTTGAAGAGATGAGGTCTGGCTATACTGCCCAGGCTGATCTCAAACTCCTGGCCTCAAGTGATCTTCTGCCCTGACCTCCTAAAGTGCTGGAATTACAGGCATGAGCCACTGTGCCCAGCCAGTTAAATTTTTTTTTTTTTTTTTAATTTTAGCTCTTCCACCTCCCCTAAATCTTTTTTTTTTTTTGATAATGTCTAAGACAGGGTCATAATCCAAATTCTGCTCTGTGGTATCAGATAAGTAGTTCTAGTGCCTGTGTAATTATCAAAATGATTTCCATGGCCATTAAGTTATTAATACTTAAACTTATAGTCAGGACAAAACCAAGGTCACTGAGGTAACTTTTTAAAACTCAACAGGGCAGAAATGATAATCTTAATATTATATTCACAACTTGACACTACAAATTAAATTAACTGTACAAATAAACTACCAACGATATGAAATATTCTATTTAGGAGAAGTTTATACTTTTGAGATAATGTTATTTCTTCTTTTTTTAGCTCTTTGCCCTTTGGGCATTCTGGTTCTCACTAGAGCACACGCACTGTAAGGAAATGGTA